GGGGTCGAAATAGTTATAAAATAATTTTCTCAGATATAGAATTATTTCAAGTTATTTCATCTTTTTCAATTCTTTGGCCGTTTTCTTTTCGTATGTACCCTTGAGTACAGTGGTTATACCTTAGTCAAACCTTCCCGGAATGAATTACATCGTCTGGGGCTCAGGATAGTTGGGATGCGAACATAATAACCTTAGAAAGGCCTAATCTAAGTGGCATTATTTCATATGTTCAGGCAAGTGTTTGCGCCAACGAGGTAGAAAAGTTGAAAGAGAATATCGTAGAATATGAAGGCAAACTAGAAGAACAAAAAACACAGGTAAAGATGCAGAAAAAACATATTTTGAGACAGTTGAAGACCTAATGATAGTGAGTTACTGTATTGATAAAGTAAATGATGGTGATGGTGATGACTCAACTTCTTAGTGTTTTAGACGTTGCACGCCTTTGTGTTGATTAAGTTAATGTCGCTGGTGCTGGTTCTAGTGCTAAAGAGAATGCAAAAGTTGTTGACTGATAAAACAACGCAGGTTTCTTGCTTTGTCCGGTAATATCGCACGCAGAAGGTGACGTGAGTACGAAAGAATTGTGTAGAAAAACACCGCTCGTAGGCTGTTTTATTATCATTTTTAATTATCTAGAAATAGAAAAATCCTATTTAATTTAGGCATTTTTTCTGACGCTTCTTTTCAAAGCAGTGCTCTTTTCACTAATGTACAGCACAGTTCTCGAACAATCAGAACGCGTGTAGAAAGGTGACATTTTGACACTGAATGCTTCAACACTACCGACATCACCGATCCTGATAATACGAACGTAACCTTACGTGTACTTTTGATTTAGAACACGTCACAGCTAAGAGAACTGAATCATCTACGAGCTGTATTGGCAGGGTATGAAACTAGGTTACAAGATGAGGCAGTGCAGGTACATAAATAGGAATATAGACTGTCACGTGACTGTGATATAACCAATCATTATACAATATCAACCAGTGAGGTATGAAATGAATTGGGAAATTCAACTGAATATCATAGAATAGTAAATGATGTTACCTGTTGGGGCTAACTAGAAAACGTTCCAGTTAACTTTGCCCTCAGGCTCTAACATAAGAAATTTGTACAACTATATTTCCCATAATATACACTTGATTGCAGAAAGGTTGTAGTATACATTTATACAAATACCTAATTTATTCAGTATATTTAATGATATGCAAAACAGAAAACTCGCTTTATTTATTATTTGTTTCATTCAATGAACGTCAAAATATTTTATTCTTGTGTTTTAMATCCTACAGATTATAAATCAATTGGTTTTGAGGGTTAACAAAGTAAAATTGCAATATGCATCTCATTAGATATTTGTATAAATGTATAAATGTATACTACAACGTTTCTGCAATCGAGTGTATATATATTAATTGTATAATCGTGCATGTATAACCAGGATAGCCAGGCTGCAAGGAAACTAAGTATAGAGTAGGCATTGTGCTATGAAGAGATACATTTATAGATTTTATTCATCTTAGAGTTCAGGTTGTGCTATAATTTTCAGGGGAAATGCATGTCACGTGACTTATCCAAACTAAAGACGCTTTCGAAAGAATATAGATGTAAATTAGAAGAGCTTAAACTGCAGGTATGAGACAGGCAGACAGTTCAATCAAAAGGCTGGTTGATTTTAGCTGCTACGGTGCATCGATGTGTAGTTCATGCCTGGGGTCGCTGATTCGATTCTAGACTTAACCAACTGTGAGTTGAGTTTGTTTGGTGTGTTGTTCTCTCCCTTGCCACGGGGGTTTTTCTCCGGGCTCGCCGCTTTTCCTCCTTGCGTTACTGTGCAACTGCTATAACCGGGGCCACATCAATCCAATCAAATTGTGCAATGAAAACGATACGAGTGGAGCCAATCAGAAAGCAGCAGAAAACAATAGCCTTTCAACATATCTTTTTATTCCCACGAGAAAATGACGATGGCTATTTAGTTGTTTACAAATAACATCAGGGTCAAATTACAAGTCTCGTGCCGTCTAGGTTTCTGATTGGCTCTACTACCTAGAGTTGGAATGTATTGTTTTCATTCTACATTTTTATTGGTTCTCTTGTCTAAGTGGCCCCGGTTACAGTAGTTACACTGTAAAATCAACATGTGACTTGAGTGTTGTGTTGTAAATATAGAATGCAGTGCTAGTGTGTGTGGAGCGAACATCACGGAAGAGAACCATCCGGTAAATGGCTTCAAAATATAAGTTTGCCAAACTATAGTTAATAAGTTAGTAAGTTAACGTTGATGAGGATTTGCAGATAATATTTGTAGGTATTAACAATGTATCATATTAACCACGTCAGGTAGCGTCGTTACAAACAGAGAATTCCCAGCTAAGAACGAACACTAAACAGTACAAACGATTGCTAGAGGATTACAAAGGACAGGTAGATAGTGAAGTCTTGAAATACGATGAAGGTGTGGTGATACGAGCAGCAAAATGGTGCGCAATTGGAATTGCTCTGAAGAGCGACTGGTTGACCATATTGCCATCCTGTGCTAAATATATATTTTTTATTTCAAAACATATGGAACTTCTACATCTGGCTCAAACTTTACACACGCTGCTAGAGAAAAGTTTGCATGACTGTGAAAAATGCAGGGTACAGAATGCATGACCGTGACGATGCCATGTCCGAATGTTGTGATTGGACAAACAGTGATCTGGTACAACGTGATTGGTTCAAAAGATGACGTTGCTTGCGTTACGTCTGCCGTACCCTTTCATAGTCACGCGATGTCTAATCTGTAGTCTGTTCCATGTTTGAGCGGTTTTTGGGCTGGATTAGGATAGTACAGGCAGTATAGCGCAATCCACTTTAACGGCAGTGTTATTGGTTTTGTTAGATCACTTTTAAAGAAGGTGAAGTGGCTCGACAGAGAACAACTGTAGGAGAGTATAGCAAGATAATAGAAGGACTGAAGTCACAGGTATGCAGGCAGATAGACAGAATGGTAGGCAAGCAGGCAGACACAATCACACACACAGGCAAAAAGAAAGACAGACGAACGGACAGACGAACAGACAATCAGACAGGCAGGCAGGAAGGCAACACAGTTCAGAAAATGTTCCTTGTGAAAATACTTATCTGTTCCATTTTTCTTGATGATGGCGTCGTCCTTCTTGCTGTTTGTTTGTTTGTTTGTTGTTGTTGTTGTTGTTGTCTTGTTTTTTTATTTCTTTTTTTTTGGGTGGGTCACTGTTTTGTGAATTAAGTTTTGTGAGTTACCTTACATTCACATGTCATCTCCATTGATTCGAGGTTTTTTTTTTACATAAAATCAAATATTGCTGTATTTCAGATCGAGAAGTATCGACGAGAGGCCGAAGAAAGCAGGAACAGACTTTACGATGTTGAACAAGACGCTCAGAGGATGCATCAAGAATCGACTATTGAAACAGAAAAGGCTAAACTGAAGATGCAACAAAGATTATCTGAACTGGAACCTCTGGCTGATCTACTGAAGGTGAGTGGATTCCCTGGAAATAGCACCCTTTCATCGCCTATCATCGAAATCTCTAACACGGGAAAATACACTCTATTTAAATTTTCACCTCAGAGTAATGAGTTACGGCTGCAAGATTCACAGGACAGACTGCTGTCTTACGAAAGACGAGCCAGCGAGCATACCAAATTGATAGCAGAGCTCACACAGAAGGTATGCGTCGATTGAAAATTTGACACAAATGTTAGCCATTACTAGGTTGAGGGAAAGACTGGGTCCAGTTGGATTTGCAGTGCATTGTGGGATGTTTTAGGGAATGAAATAGATCCCTTTGCATGTGACGTCAAAGAAGCTCAATTTGGAGGACAAAACAAAAGAATTTCAATCTCCTGAGAATTGGAAACCTCTTGTTATGTCCTCCAAATTGAGCTGCATTCCGACGTGCTGCAAGGAGTCTATAGACGCCATCTTGGAAATATGTCCACTTAAACAGTCCCACAATTCATTGCAGTGCCAACTCGAACCAGTTTTTTTCGACCTTGGAATGGCTAATAGACATCCCTCTCACACATCCGTCAACCGTTATCTCTTACCTTTACATATTCATCTGTTGTCAGATTGAGTATCAAACAGATCAACTTGAGACCGTCAAAGAAAAATACCGAATGGCGCAGGACGAGTTACGAGGCTTCCAGTCCAAGTCTGACATGCTGGACAAGTAAGAACAACTATTATTCTATTATTCCCTTACATCTTATTGGCCATTCCAAGGATAAGAGAAAAACTGGGACGAGTGGGCATTGCAATGTATTGTGGGGCTGTCAGACATATTTCCAAGATAGTGTCTATTTCGTAATCTAAAATAGTCCCAAAATGCACTGCAATGCTAATTTTTCGAGCCAGTTTTCCCCCAGCCTTTAAATGGCTAACATCCACATTTTATTTGAAACTTATAAATATATATATATATATATATATTTTTTTTTTTTTTCACGCAGGAAAGCAACAGAATCAGAATATCAAAACAGAGAACTTCTCGGGGTTTTGGGTAAAAAGGAGGAAACTTTGCAGCATAATCAGGTAGAAATGTTCTTGTTCTTTGAACAGCGTGATGCTTATGTTTCTGATAATTCTATCGATAGAATAGTCCCCTTCACAGTTCCCTGCGCCATCTTGAAAGGTAGTCGTGCCTTTCAATCGAAGCGAGACGAACAGTGAGCTTGCAATGATAGAGTCATGTGAATAATTGTCCAATGTGTCAAAAAAGGTCTCTATCATCGCAAGCTCACCGTTCGTCTCGCTTCGATTGAAAGGCACGACTACCTTTCAAGATGGCGCAGGGAACTGTGAAGGGGACTATTAGAATAGTCATAAACACACATTGTTTTACAGGGTTTCTCAATACCTTGGGCGTAGTTTTTTCCCATTTCAGACTACGTTTTATTCCCTTGAAAATAAGAGTCTTCGTTTGAGTTATATCCATGTTCATGTGCCTTCTCATGCACAACTGTTAAATAAAGAAATGATACTCTAGGGGATGACACGTAGTCTGAAACATAAAGTAGAGGCGCGGAATCGTTTCATTTGCCGTCGCAACGTCAATCAAAGCGTTTCCATGACATTGTCTAAAACACAATAATTTCCATGAGCACGTACCCGTGGAATGCCATGGAAAAGCCTTTATTGACGTCCACCAAAACCTACTTCGTCGCGCGTGCTATTGAGAAACACTGTGAAATAGATAACACATTCTATACCTGATTTGAGGTTTGTTTCCTGTTACTATAGCAACGGCTAGAGGATTTGAAGGCAGAGAATATTCGTCTGACGTCACAACTCGAGATGTCCCTCGCCGAAGCGAGGAGACAAGCCGAACTTCAACGAGAGAAAACCATTGCAAAGGTCAGTGCTCAATTCCTTCCCTTATTGAAGAATAGAGGATTTGTACCATCACATGATGGCAGCCATGACAGGAGGCACAACAATAGTCTTTTTCCCATGGGAAACTGAATTCTTTGCTATGTAAATAAGGTAAGACCAGATTCAATTGTTCTTGCATGATTCCTGCCTCCTGTCATGGCCGCCATCACGTGATGGTGCAAAGCCTCTATTCTGGAAAATTTGCTTGTGATAATCGACCTACAGATGATTTGCGTTCACATGTCACGTGATTATGACCGCCATATTGGAATTTCAAGCGATTTTTCGTGACAAGAACAATCACTACGCGATCAACAAAAACCTTGAAAAACGGTCAGTGGGAGCTGTGTTGTTTTATTGTTGAGTTGGGAATGGACTAAATCATTTCCTTGAGGATACGATTTTTTAGATAACCGTTAAGCAAAGAAATGATACTCTAGAGAATGACTCGTGATCTGGAATGTGAAAAAATAATGCCCAAATGAATTTGGTCCATTTTTTAGCACTAGAAGGCGTACATACCGTCTCCTAAGACTGAAAAAATTTCGGTTTTTTTTCTCCACAGGAACGAGCTGCTCAAGCCAGAATCACAGACCTCGAGACCCAGTTGAGCCGTGCTACGGCTAATGCAGCATCCATGAAGAGAGCTAAAGATGAGGTAAAGATTTATTAATGTCCCCACTATTCCCCTCTAGCCACTCAGAACACTAGCTAGAATTTTTGATACACTTCCATCAACCTGAATAATCTGAATGTTCCGATATCTGAGTTGATTTATGGAAGCCAAAAACCCAGACTCCTTCGGCAATGTTCATCGCGTGACGTCATCTTGTCCATGACATCTTACCATCAAGCCATCAAGGCGGGAAAACAATAAAGGCTTGTAATGCTTAAATTTTTAAGTTATAATTCAAGGGCAGATCCAGGAGGGTGAATTGCTTGACTAGTCACATCCCTCACCTCCCCCCCCC